GCGGCGGTTGGAGGCGGTGATCAGTGGCAACTAGTGGTGGCGGATGGGGGGTTGCATGTTGGTGACTTGGTTCAGGGTTTTGAAAAAAAAACATATGTTTTAGGAATATTTTGGTGGCTGCAATCAGGAGACTTTAGGGTAATTTAGTGTGGATCGGATTAGTATATTGTGTGCCCGCATAATGAACCCGCATAATTTTATTATGCGGGTTGATTGCATAATCGAGTAGGTTCTAGCTACCTAACATGTTTTGGTGTTGGATAAGAGTACTCGAGTGAGTATTCGACCGGGTAGACCATGTAGACTGCTTAATTATTCAGGGAACCTAAGCAAACATGAGCTGATTATGTGAACTCACCATGTCAAAAAGAGTTTATTACCTGCTTAAGTATAATATCATGTTAAAATGGATCAGATCAGAACTCTATTTAAGTTCGTCTTAGATAAATGGTGAGAATGGTATCTTGAAATCTTTGAAAAAAGTCATCCCTCTCTCGATTCGCTGCTAAAAATGCATAGATGTCACTTAGGCGCGTGTATCAGTGCTTTGGAGCTATGTCCAACACCTAAAAGCGCCTAGCACTTTCTATGACATTGGATATGACTCACAGGAGGCCTAGCCACCATTTATCTCCATCTTGCTAATTTAGCAAAATGAGCTGTTGTCATACCTATTATCCCTATAATTATGAATAAGCTTTCTATGACATTGGATATGACTCACAGGAGGCCTAGCCACCACTTAGCTCTTGCTTGCTAATTTAGCAAAATGAGCTGCTGTCATACCTCATAATTTAAACAGTAAAATTATGGATAAGTGGATCTTAAAATTATGATTCAATATGTGGTTAAGTATTACATGCAACAAATATATTAGACTTTATTTTTTGTTGTGGAGGATATAAGAGATTCTTTGACATTATATATGTATGTATAAGAGTAAGGTTATATTGCACGTAGGGTTCAAATTAAGAAGTTTATGCCCATATAAAATTCACATTAGATCTTCATATTTATGATGTAAACCATTCATTATGATATGCACATCACTAAACCGAAGTAGATCAAATCTCTTATGGTTTCAAGCTACTTAAATTAAATTTCTTTTACGACTTTAAAGTCCCTTCCGCTACACCAAAATTTTGAAATTATGGCGAATGTTGAAGGTTGTAATTATATGTTCCAACATGCTTAGACAGGCAAGTTGAGAGGCCTTTATGGGCAGAAACCTGAACTCACGTAGTGATATCAAATTTTTTTAGAGCCAACTTAGAAATTCGCGGCAACAAGATTCAAACCCAGGTTGTCTGATAGCATTTTAAAATCCCTACCACTACACCATAACTCTGAAGTTAAGGTAAGAGTTATAATTTTATATTCTAACAAAGACCCACATGCCATTCATTTTTAGACCATGAGATGCATAAGCTGGAGATTACATCCTTGTGATTCAGGGCCTCTTGACTTTTAGATTGTTTATCATAATGAATGGTTTTGGTCATCAGTGGATCATCTAACACATATCGTAATTACACGCTATTTGTAGTATGATTTTATCTCTGCGTGTGTGTGATGTTGCAATATTCTGTTTGACATTTTGAGCTGAAACATGTACAGATATATTTGTAGGATCTGAAATAGATACACTAGAACACTAGAAGAGGGATGAATATTGTTCTTTTAAAATATATGCAAAGTAGATTATAAATTGCAAAGAAAAATAGCAATCTCAGAAATTCACAATCACAAACACAAAGTTTTATACTGGTTCCACCAACCCGGTGTACATCCAGTCCCCAAGCAAATCCCGCTTGAGATTTCCACTATGATTTTGAAACCTTACAAAATCAAAAGCAAACCTGACCAATTTGCAAGACCATGCAAATTGCAACACCAATTGACAAGACCATGCCAATTGCCACCCAATCTCTAAACCAAGAGATCAACCCTCTCAAACCCGAGAGAAATCCTTTTTGAAGCAAGAACACAATTGATCCTATAAGCCTTGAATGTGTAGTGAAGTGCTGCAGTGGCTTAGGATTCTTTTAACTCTCTGAATATTGTCTATACAATCTCTAAGAATGATTGAAACCAAGGCAATATCAGAAACTCTCTTTTTCTAAACACTTAGCATAAAAATCTGGAAAATTAGAGAGTGAATATGCACAAAATGTTTGATCTTGCAAGTGTAAAAACTTGGTTGTTGTTTTCTGATGTTTAAACCTATTTATAGCCTCTGAAATGACATAATTTTAAACCCAATTAACGTCCACAAAACGGCTATAAACAGTCACTTATTTAAAACCTGAAATCTAAAAAAACTGCATCTGTAGTCGACTACAAGTCATAGTAGTCGACTACACTGATTCTAAACAGACTCTGTGAAGTTAGAAAATTGCTCAGTAGTCGACTACAAGGCATAGTAGTCGACTACACTGTAAACTCAGATTCTGGAATTTTTCTGTTTAATATTTTGACTGTAACTTTCTCATCCGATATCGGAATGAGGTGATTTAAGATTTGTTGGAAAGCTCTTGAAGAGACCTACTACTTTGATTTTTTGAGTTTTTCCAGATTCTAATTGCTAAGGGGTGTAAATGAAATGTTTTAAGACTCACCCAATATTTATAAACTCTAATGGCTAACATAGGGGATTTCTATTGTTAACCAACACATTAAGCATGTGTTAGTGTGTTCTAACAGTATGTGTGTGCATGTGTGTGAGTGATCAAGGCTTGTACAAATTTCTAAGCAAAGAAAATATAAAATTACATTTTGACAATAAAGTATATTTTCTTCTTTGCTTCATTTTGCCTTGAACTCATCTATGTCTTGAGTATCTCTTTGAAAATAATTGTTGATATAGCTCTGATACTGCAAAACAAATGTTAACACATAATACACACAATATATAATATTTGTTATCATCAAAATAAACTAATCTTGGGGTCAAGATTCCTAACAATATTGGTAAAATCCCTATATATAGTTGAAAATCTGCAATAAACGATATGGAGACCACATCGTTTTGTGGCAAGTTTATAAAATGAGAGGTTGGCCTATATATGGACCATTTCGACCGATATCTAAAGCAATGACATTTATCTTGTGGATTATGCTTAATGCTTGTTGTATCTAAACATAGCGTCAACTGCTTAAAAAAGTTGCGAATTTATGACACTTGTTCCAGAAATGCCCTACCTTTTATATAGTTGATGTTTCTAAAAATCTTCAAAAAGTTGGAAAAAAATTCTACTCTCTTCCATTCTACTTTCCTTTTTGTGATGCACTTTCTGATTAATTTTTATATGCTCGTAATATGGTATTTGTCCAATTCTGTGGTCGGATGAAACCAGTAGCTTGTCTTTTAAATTTATTTTTCCTTGACATACTATAATTTCTTTCCCAGATGCATATATTAGAGATCCGGACTATACCCCAAGCTCTACCATTTTTTGTAACTCCAAAGATAGTTGAAGAAAATTCAGTGTTACTACAGCAATTGCCACATTGGGCGCCTTGTTCCATTACTCAAGCTCTTGAATTCTTAAGTCCTGCATATAAGGGCCATCCACGTGTCATGGCATATGTCCTTAGGGTTTTGGAGTCGTATCCTCCTGAACGAGTATTATTTTTTATGCCGCAACTTGTGCAGGCTCTCCGCTATGATGAAGGGGTGAGCATTTGTTACATTCTAAGAATTGCATTATGATGTTGTCATACTGATTTTATCATAATATGTGACAAATCATTAAAGTGTCCTCTTGCAAATTTTGCAGTTATCAAATATTTCTGTATCTTATGTTCTTTTTTTTTTGTAAATCTAATCCCTTAATTACACTGCTTCCTTTTTTCCCCCTCCAGAAGTTAGTGGAAAGATACTTGCTTGAAGCTGCTCATAGAAGTAATTTATTTGCTCATATTTTGATATGGCATCTTCAGGTGCACCCTTCACTACTTTTTAATTTGTTTTCTTCTTCACTTTTAATTCAGCACTATTTCTTTTGTTGTGATTTCTTGCTGTATCTCCTTGCTAGTTAACTGGTCGCTTGATGGTTGATATATTGATTAAATAATGCTCAAACACTGTTGCAATTTTTTTGTTTCTTTTGCTTATTCCCAGTATTTAATTGCAGGGTGAATCTTCTCCTGAAGAATCTGAGAATGATGGGACTCTTCTCAAGGTATATGTTTTCTGTTGTGAGATTTCTGAAACATTTGATTTTTCAGATTTTTATGCTTATTGTGAAGTTGTAGATGATAAAAAAATGTTGCATTTATTAGTGTTGATGAGATATATGTATAAAGTGTAATTTTGGGTTTTAGTCTGGATCATGCATCCTCCATGTTACTAGTTTCTTTTTTCGTGTTGACGCGTGCAACCAGCCATTTACTGACTGAAATATTCTGAACCCAAAGGAATATGAGGAGTAGTAAGGTGTGTGAGTTGTTAGAAAAAGATTGCAAGCTTGAAGGGATGCCACAGCCAACTTTGTGAGGAAAACTGTCTCCCGGATTTAGTTAAATAGTGTATGTTTGCGCTCTCCTGGGCTGCCCCAGAGGTGCCATTACATCCATAGAAAAAATTATTCTGGTTTCTATAATTGTCATTTGTAGAACTTTCTTGAGTATTAGATTCCTTTCGTCAATTTCTAGGCTCAAGCATCTTTAACTTTAATATACTTGTTGCGCCTTTGCTTCAAAAAATTTCCTTCGCTTTTGCTCTGATTTTCAATCTTCTTTGCCTGCTGGAGGTTTCTAATTAAATTTCATGCTTGGGAGCCTTGTGATTCTCTCATTTTATATTTACAGTATCTTCCCACTTATAGAGACTTGTAGACTTGTCTTATCAAGTGACTGATCTTATACACTACAATTATTTAGATGTCCATATAATTTCAATTTTTGTTCTGTACCCCTTTTTGGCATTACATTCTTTGTGATGAAAAGAGAGGTTATGAAGGGTTTAACAGCCAAAGGATTGATTTGTGTATGATATTGCTAGATATAGAGCTCTTCTGGACCTGTAATTTACCAAAGTACAATGAGATTATATACTACAGAACTACTATGATTTGAGGGACACACCTTGTATTTTGCGGCCGTGACCGTGGATATCAGATGTGGAGCACAGGTTTACATGTGCAGGCTTGCATTGCCAAGAATAAATGGGTGAAATGTTTGCAAGATGATTGCATCAATTACTGTACATTCATATTCCCTTCTCTTTTTAAAGCAAACATGGGGTCAATAACTTCTGATGCCCTTCTCTTGTTTAGTAAGGAAGCTTGAAACAGTATCTGTTGATCAAGATTTTACAGTAAAAGAAAGAAAAGTGGCTTACAGTAGCCAAAGCTGTTTAAACCATTTGAAACTCATTGTGATGGAAAATGGTGTACATGATTCATTATATTTTCTCGGATTATCTTCCCTCAGGCCTTTACCTTCGTCTTCATTGATTTTTACATTTTAGCTTCCTTTTTTTTGCATGTTCATCATCTTGTTTAAGTGTTTGATCTAGATTCTAAAGGACGTGGATTTTACTACAAAGGTTTGATACATTATTAACACAAGTTTAGTAAAATTGTGATTACCTGTTGCACTTTATTTTCTAAAGAATATTGTCAGTGTTAAGCTCTTATCAACTCACCTAATGACATGCTAAAGCTGTGTTTTTTCTTAATACCTGGATCAGATCAATTCCTTTCAAGCAATGCTCCCTGTCCTCAGGCAAAAGATCATTGATAGTTTCACTCCTGAAGCTCGTGATCTATTTCAAAGGCAATTTGACTTTTTCAACAAAGTCACAAATATTTCTGGTGTTCTTTTTCAAGTATTCCTCCATCTCTATAGATATATCCCATTTTCATTGTAATCCAGAATATCTCTATTAGGAATTATTCTCTTTTTTTATTGATATGCTCAGGGAACTGGAGAAGATCAGTGTGGATGGTGATGATCTTTACTTACCTACCGCGCCAAACAGACTGGTTCGAGGCATTTTGGTGGACAGCGGGATTCCCCTTCAGTCTGCTGCAAAAGTTCCTATTTTGGTGAAGTTTTATGTAGTTGATAAAGATGGAGATCCTAACAATGTACAGCCGCAAGGTCTCATTTTCAAGGTATCTTCTGGTTCACTGTTTTAAAAACCTTAATGCTGGCATTATATTCCGTGTGATTGTCACGTAGTCATGACTTAGATTTTGGGCCTTTATTTGAAGTTTTATGTGCATTACGTTCGCTGTTTTTTGTATCTTAAAGTTTAACTTTAGCCTGCAGATTGGAGAAGCATATTACCTATCTCTTGCCTACTGAGGCACCTTTTGCTCTCCCACTGAAGCTAGACCCTTGCTAATGAATGATTCATGAGTAGTTCATGTTGTTAAATTGGTAAAACATAGCATATCTTTTCTTTTCCATTGTAATTTGTCTCCTAGAATTGTCAGTCATTCAGAAAAGCGAATCGATCCCAAAAAGAAAAGGTCAAGTTTGATTTATAGGACAACAAAAAGGATAAAATCCAGTGTGCTATCATGTACTTGTACATTATCTTGAGCATTTCTCCTTGTTTTCTTGTATACATCCACATTATTAAATGAGATGTTTATATGATTTTTAATACCAGGTTGGAGATGATGTCAGGCAAGATGCACTGGCACTACAAGTGATCTCTCTACTAAAGGACATATTTGTTGCTGTAGGAATAAATCTTTATCTATACCCTTATGGCGCTTTACCAACTGGCTATGAGAGAGGCATAATTGAGGTAAATTTATTTTTGTTGTTTTACCTCTGTTCTTCAATGTGTCTCTGTGTTAACTCCTCTAGTTCTTGATCATGCTTTTCCTGCACTTGTGGGATTCATTTTTTGGTGGTACGTCCATATTGTTGGCAGAAGTTTTTAAGATTGTCTTGACAGCCATCTTCTTTTTGTTTGGCGTGATTCACCCAAACTTCCTCTCTGTACTGGCTAATTGTTTTGTTTGCTTCCGGAGAACTACTTTCTTTCAGATAACTTAATGACCTTCTATGAATTGATAAAGAGCCACTTTTATAAAACTTTTTCTTTGAGAAGTTGTTGGGATTGCTTATAGCAAAAAATTTCCCCTTATGGACTATAAATAGATTTAACATCCCGCTCTTTTCTTTCTCTCACACAGTCTTTGGGTATCTATTGGTATGTGTCCGTCTTTTGTGTGAGTTTGTGACTTATGTGACTTTGTGATGTTTTTTGTATCCACTTCTTCTTTCTTTTTACCGTCCTTTTATCGTTGGTTAGTTTATCAATAGTTTTCAGTTGTGCTAGGTGTTTAGTTTTCCTGCTGCACATGATTAAAGGAATCAAGGTATTAAGTTTTTCTTCCTTTTAAAATATTTAATATCTATGAAATGCATTTTTGTATGCATCTGGTTTATATTTGATGACTGGTTTAGACATTAGCTGCTAGAGCATTAAACTGAATCGAATATTCCATGAACATTCATAGAATTATACTATCAGAACACCTAATATATTTCTTTGTGCTTATATCTTGTTAATAAACAAAGTAATGTGGATATTAGCTTCAAGAATGATACATATAGTTGAACTATTTGTGCATATTTACATGTAACTCATGTCTGAACTCTATCAACCATCATTCTTGATTCAAAAATTCAGTTTGTTGTGCATGCAGTATTTGCTACATTCTGGTAAATTTTAGTATGTTAATGCATACTTCTCTTTTCTGTGAGCCTTATTGTTCTCCTTTTTTGCATCTCAGTGAGAAGTTATATGATATTACCCAAGGTTATCGATAGCGGATAGCGTCGCGTAGCGGTGATGCATCGCTAAGGCTATTTTGGCTATTGCGGCAAAATAGCGGTAAAAAAGGCAAAGTCAAATAGCAGTCTAATTTAGATATGTATAAATACTAAAAAAAATTAAAGAAAAATCTAACAAATCTAAAAGTACATATTTGATGATTTAAAGAGATCCTAAACATGAAATATATATGTAACTATCACGTAATACCGAAGATGACTGGAGGAGTTAAAAAATCGTCTTCGAGAAGAAGAGCTTAGCGGTGATAGTACTGCCCTAAGAGGATCTCACGGTGAAGGAGGTGAGAGGAAGTATCAATGTAGGTGCCAGAGGTTATGAGAGGTGGCATGAGTATGCTGAAAATCACAGGAGACGGTGGAATGCAATGGTCAAGGGTTGAGTTTAATTTTTAAAAAATAAGCCTCAAACCGTTTTTAAATAGCAGTCAAAAAGCAAATTTCGAATGCAATCGCTCACCATTTACCGTTATGACACACTATTGACCACTTTTACGAACAAACATATTTCGCAATATGTCACCGCTATTGTGCGATAGCGTAGCGGGCGATAGCGTCGTGAGAAGAGACCGCTAACGCTATTAGCGTCGCTATTGCAGGGCTATTTACCGCTATTTATAACAGTGATATTACCTGATGTTTTGTTCCCTCTCTCAAACCTGAGCCAGAGTGGTGCAACAGGAACTATATTTCACTGACATTTTTGAGTCATGTAATTTTGTTTGCCAGTCCTCTGGAAGACATTTATTATTGTGTCCCAGGATTCCTCTTGCCCTCCAAGTTTTGGCTGACAGCAAGAGATTCTACAATGTCTCAGGATTCTCTTGGCCATGGCAAGGATGCCGGTATCTAGATGGCCGTGTAAAAATCCATGCAGCTGCATACATGTTTCATGTAGCTGTATAATTCGAGATCTCTTCACAAACTTAGAGTCGCCATTAGTTTGGTAGCTGTTCTATTATTATTATTAATTCCTTCTTTTAAGATTTCCTTTGACTCCAATCGAGTACAGAGTCAATTTTGGTGGGAAATGCTTAGACAGTGATGAGGATCATGTCTAGCGAAGACATGGATATTATTATGCATCTAGTCTAGTGATGAGGATCATGTCAATTTTGTTGTTCTGCGTCTGTCTCCCATTAAAATGTGATTGACTATTGAACAATGCTCCATGAAAGATTTGAGAAAATCTTAACCTCCTCTAAGCAATACCATGTAGATGTAATAATACTTTATCAGCTAAATTCTATGCGGAATTAAAGTTTATTAAGCGCTACACATTTGTCATTTGAGTTCTTTATCTCTTTATTATTATGTTAGATTACTTCCATATATCTAAGTTGCACTAGTATGGGTATGGGTGCGGGTACGTGTACAGTAGGGGAACGGGGCACGGCAAATTTGTAAAAGGTAGGGTATGGGGGCACGACTAAAACTCATGGGATATAATCTTAGTTCTGAAGTCTGAACTATATTTGTGAATGACCCTTTTAAGTTGTAGCTCTTAAGGCTAAAACGAAACTTGACGCTCATCCAACAAGGTACAAAAATGGACATGAAGTGTATGATATATTTCCAAGAAGTGTATGATGAGTGTTTTCAATTAAATATGCACTGTATAATTGAGTGCATGTCTGAATAAATATATTCATATATTTAAGGAGTGTCCAAGAAGTATCGGTATGGATACAATACGTGTTGGGCACGGATACGGCCCCGTATTACAAGTGCCCATGTAACATAGCCACATACTATATCTCTATAGCATCAGTTAGTATATTATACATGATTTAATCACAATATTATCAAAACTTCACATGTTTTGAACAAATTATGCCATACGTTGCTGTTTGTGTCTACTTTTTGCAAAATTGTTATCACTTTTTAATTTTCTTGATTTGCTGGTAATGAATGTCAGAAATTCTGATATGAAATTTCTATATCCAAAAAAGATGTCCAATAAACACTGGTACCTAGATTTTGAGCTTTCTGTAACATTCAAACATTTTTATATGACTCATAAGTTTTCTTGCATATGTAAAGGAATAAAAAATATTTCACTTTCGAGAAGAAAACTTTAGCCATGTAGAGACTGCCTTAATAAGTGTTCTTCAGATTTCCTCAGCATAACCTCCTTGCAGCTTGTTCCTGAGACTCGGAGCAGAAGCCAAATGGGCGAAAATTATGATGGCGGTTTATATGAGATTTTTCAACAAGACTTTGGGCCTGTAGGCTCTCCTGGTTTCGAAGCTGCACGTGAGATGTTTATTGTTAGCAGTGCTGGTTATGCCGTTGCTAGCCTTTTACTTCAACCAAAAGATCGGCATAATGGCAATCTTCTATTTGACAAGTATTTATTTTCTTCGGCATCATATTTTAACAGCAAAGCAATTGTTATCAGTTACTAACTCATCATATTGTTACAGTTTGGGAAGGCTAGTTCACATAGATTTTGGGTTTATACTGGAGACATCACCTGGAGGCAACATGAGGTTTGAAAGTGCGCATTTCAAGTTGAGCCATGAGATGACTCAGTTACTTGACCCTTCTGGTTCAATGAAGAGTGACACATGGATCCAATTTGTCAGGCAAGCTACATTAACGATCTTATTTGATCTGATTAGTTTCCATTCTAGTATCTGATGTAGTTTTGCAGACTTTCCATGTTTTAACTACTTTTTTTTTCCTGAACTCTGATTTCTCATACCTTAGTGCAGTAATACAGAATATCAAGAAAACTGTCAAATATGTAACTTAACCATATGGTGATGATGCTCTTTTACTTTAAAAAAAAATCAAGATACTGAAAATTCTCTGTTAAGTCCAAGCAAGCGAAGTCTGCTTATATAGAGTTAGCCCACATTGTTGGCATTATGTTTGTTAGACACATGCATTTTGCAATTGTAGGGCCTTTAAATGACATGGTAAAACTTTTTTTTTGGGGGTAAATGCATTATTGTGTATCCGAAAGATCGAAAGGCGACCATTCATTGCTCTGTTTAAGACTGATCGTATTGGGAGTAAACTCATTCCTCTTTTTAAAGGAGATAACTACAGAACAGTATGATTCCATTGGAAAATCCAATAATATTTTCTAGCAGAAGATGTTTTTGCGCGGGAGACGTTGGAGGAGTCGGAAGCAAAGCAGCAGAAGAAGCAGTGAAGAATTAGGTGGTACACCGACCGATCGGACAGTTGGGTGGGCTTTGGTGGTGCATCGACGGTCTGACTGGTCGGATCGCCACGCACTGCCTCCTTGGACTGTTTCAGGCTGTTTTGTATTTTTTGGATTGTTATCCAGGTTGGAAGTCCTGCTTGGTATAGTGTTGGGCTTTAATCTTATAAATAAATACAGGTCTTCTAGGTCTAGGGTTTGCATCTAAGCCAAAGGAGAGTTGCATATTGTAAAAGAGCTGTAAAGAAGAAGCAAAGAAGTGAAAGCTAGGGTTTGTGAGGATCTTTCATGAGATTGAGAGAGGTTTCTTTCCTGTTCCTTCAAGAACCAAGAAAGGCCAAATCTAGTATAACCTCAAGAATAAAAAAAGACTCGAAATCTCTCCCCTGTGCATAGGTGATTGCCAAAACACATACACCATTGCGTCTTTGCATCTGGTTTACCTTTTCTGTGATATTGCTTGTGGTTAGTTTTCTCTTTATTCGAATATTGTTCTTCTAGGTGTTCCTTATTGCTGAGGTGATAGATTCCCTAGTAAGACAGAAGAGATCTAATTGGGAGATCCGGCTTGGCTTCCTTGTTGATCATTGTTTCGTCAACAGATCCATCCATGGGTTGAACTGTGTGGACCCCACATCGGAAAGACCTGAGTAAAAGGTGTGCTTTAACACGTCATGGGCCGATAGACATGAAAGAGAAAACACATGGGGGAAGAGTAACTTACTGTTATTCTCCTTCCTCAGCTGACCTTCTTCCTTCTCCGCCCCTCTAGTGTGCTCATCGCCCCAAAACTCCACAGGTTGATCCTCATTCCTCCCTCCATGCTCACCAGCACAGCACTGGGTTATCCCAATGTATGACTTATGAGAAGATTCTTCCCTCTGTTGACCAGCCGACAATTTAGGAGAAGATTCTATCCTGCTATTGACATCTACCCTGTCAGCAGCACAATCCAATAACATCCTTATCACAGTCTTTTCCAGTGATTGGATCACTAAGGATGGGTGAGGAATACAAATAGTTAGAAATTAGGGCAGGGTCAAATTTCTATTTGAAGTTTTGTGATGATTATTACTAGAAAATGAGACTGAATCTGTTATTCACTAATATATTGCTATTGGTTTTCAAATTTATACTTGAAATTAGTTTTTTTCCTGTTAAATTTATTCTAAAAGGTGAGATAATTTAAGAAATACCACAGGTTTCTTTTATAGGGGGCTATTGTCTAGTTTAATTTCATTTTTCCTTAACTAGGAGGCTATTGTCTAGTTTAATTTCATTTTCCCTTTTAGTTCAGATTTTGAAAACTTGTTCTGATTTTTTCTTAAAAAATCTTCAAATATATGAGATGCACTTAGAGTGGAACTGGCTCTTTCCCGCTAGAAAACCTTCATCTACTTCTCCATGATTTTTCTGTCCGTTATGCTGCCCCTTTTGTTCACAAATGCTAATTTTGATGAGTTTGGCAAAGTAAATCTTCTTAATGCATAGAAAAGGGTATTTTGAATGGTAAACTGAGGTTTATGTAGGTAAATACACTCTTATCTATGTTTTGTATGAACCTCCTGCTGATTTGTACTAGAATCTGAGAATAAGTCGCTTGTTATACTCAATTATACGTGACATGAGAACGTATATATTCTGAATATATGCAACTAAACTGGAGTATAGTAGTCTTTTTCAATTTCAATCAAGAGGAGTCTCCCTGTGAATAATTTTGTTATTCAATTTAAATGATTAGGAGGCTGTGAACGATTTTGTTATTTCTGTTGTATTATAGGCATGAAGCTTATTTGATTATGCATTACATTGGTGTTCTTCTTTCTGATGTTCTATAATAATCACATATAAAATGCATCCATCCAACGTAGAGGAACTAGAATAGCATGTTTGAATATTAACTTCAAATTTTTAACATTTTTCTATCTGTATCACATATACTGAATGATTCGTCCAATACTCCTAAAAACATAGTGGATTTTTGCATCCAGAGTGACACATGGTGCTAACAACTTAGAAGGTTCACTGGGTTTCCTAGGTGTCTGCTTAACCTAAGCATCTTTAGGTTTTGAACACTAGTTTCCTTTATTGCGACCACCACTTAGTTAGAGGGCTTAATGTGCAAATAACACATTTAAAGTAAAATGTACATGAAATCATACTTTGAAGTGTTAAAAAAACATATGTATTTTAAATATGTGATTCGAATTCCTTATTGAATTTTACTCTGAAACTGACCATTGTTGTACAATTAATTTTAGTTGACATGATTATTTTTTTCATTCAACATGTGTTGGTTGCAATTTTTAGCATTCATGATTTAACAATTCTCAGAGGTTGTGACTGATTTATCGTTGTATTTGTATCACAACTATGCAAGTTATTATTTTGATTTTGTAACCATGATTCTGTACTATGTTCTACACAATGCTAAGGTTTAATTTTTTTAACCTTGAAATTTAAAAACTATATTTGGATATTTGTCTGGGGAGTATCAAGGCTTTCGGTATGTGTCATGACCATTGAGTAATTGATGTATGATTTGATCTTCACATTATGGCGACTGGAGTGTGACTTTTATCTTGAAACAAAAATTAAACAGTTAGAGGGGTTCTTGTGCAAGAATAGACATTTTTAAATGCAAAACTGTAATGCGAAATGGACTTTGTATACAGACACAAATTCTCTTATTGGAGTCTTGAGTCTACTTATATCTAATCATCTAAAAATGGTTCATCCATTTACAAATAACATAGTAATATTAAACTTGAGATAGAACCCAAGTCACTTAGCTTAAGTAATGATAAACTTAAAGAAACTACATCTAGTCTTGATCAACATTGTATCCACACTAAAATGGATCATTTGTTGTGATATTAAACTCAGTGCAGTGACATAGGGCACTAATGTATAAATTCAGGGATGCGTAGATCAGAGTATAGAATTGATCACATTTGATAGAATAGTATCTGTGTAGCATGATCTTCTTGTCTAGAATCTTTGGCAATCCATGGAAAATTAGAGGAGAAGCTTGATAACTGGAGAAGCATGATAATGCATGTAATGATACAAAAAGGGTCCCAAAGTAGACATCCTAAAATGAAAAGGAAATGCACAAAAGAGCTAAAGACCTAACACATGCTGCAAGTTATTAACTCTCTGAATTAAAAGATTTGACTAGTCGGTGGAAATTACAATAAGAAACAAATAAAAGGTGAATGATATGGCAATTTCTCAAGAGATTTTTTTAGCAACAGTTATGTGATCAAAAGAAAAGAGAACAATTTCATTGTGAAAGTTACTATCATCATCAATTAACAACATCAGACATATCTACGTAAATAATAAGGTTATTACATAAAGGAAATAAATGCCAACCTGGTAAACCACATATTTTATTTTCTTAGGCAAATAGGATAATGGGATCTTGAAAAAACAGAATGTAATGCTAGGTTATGATTTCTACGAAAAAATAGACAATTTCTGATTACCAAAAATATGACTTGTTTCTAAGTAATTCTTTGCAGTATAGGTAAGGAATATATTAGAGAGGTATGTTAAGAAATGGAACTGGAATTGCCTGACTACAACTAGAACTGTAGGAACAATAGGACCTTGCAAAACTACTTTTCCTTAGGTTACAGCAATTCCTTCTCAATCAGCTTTTTGCTGAAGGAAAACTTTCCAATGAAGTGGGTACATTGCCATTGTGGTGGTCCAAAAAGAGGACCCTTGGATTGATACACTTGTCTTTCCTATTTTGCACTGATCCAAGGATTCTCATCCCTTGGTACACCAAGTCTCCTGTGAATCCGATAACTGTATACTTTCTTTGAGAGCCACTAATATTATTTAAGTTATCTAAGGGTACCGTAAAACAAATCAAAAGTATTAACATTTGTTCTGTGACACGTTTATAATGTTTATGTGACAATACTGCTCAGATATAAGTGATATTTTCTTAACAGTATCATCTACTAGCTTGTTGTTTTTTGCTTATCTGCCCATTGGGCAGGGAATTTGCTAGTTGCATAAATAGATAATTTTATAGATGCCATGGACACAGAAAGTTGCAATTTCACCTTAAGTTCACCGTTGCTGAATGTGAAAATAAATTCCCCTACATATTATGCAATAAAGGCACTCGCCTTGAGGTTATCATTCTTGTTGCTGTGTAAGGAGGGTAAGTACTGCGTTTACAAAGGGGGGTTAAAAATGAGGAACTACATTCTGCCACATATCTTTGATTCAGTGGCTCCTCTTGGAAGGGGTATATTATCTTCATAGTATCGTAAGTGTAGTAGAGAACAATTTTACCTTGTGCCATAAATGCCAAATTGAATTTTACTGACTTGTAGCCTATTGATTGTTGTCTGTGATTACACATCACGCTCCGAGGAGAGGTTGTAACCATCGATGAAAGTGTCTTCAAATCCTGCAATTATCTTTTTTCTTTTTCTTTTTCTTTTCCTCTGTTGGTGATTTATCCTTGAACATCCTTAGTTCTTTTATTTATAAATTTATTTATTATTTTCAGTTTGTGCGTGAAAGGATACCTTGCAGCACGGCGGCATATGAATGGGATAATAAGTACCGTACTTTTAATGGTTGACAGTGGACTTCCTTGCTTTAGTAGGGGCGACGCCATTGGAAATCTCCGGAAAAGATTTCATCCTGAGATGAATGAGCGCGAAGCTGCGAATTTCATGATTCGGACCTGCATGGATGCCTACAACAAGTGGACAACTGCTGGTTATGACTTGATACAGTATCTACAGCAAGGAATCGAGAAATAGAAGAGATTCTTTTACTAATTTTTTGTTTACCCTGCTTGTCGTGTAATTATCATTCTATATGCTTCAGATTGAGATGACTGGCATTTCAGAGGGTAAAAAATTTCTCCTCACTGGCTTAGGCTTGTCTCCATGTCCTCTTATCGAGCAGGGTTTTCTTTTTTCTTTTTTTCATCCCACTAACGTTCAGTTAATGCCGTTGTGATCTTGATTCTTGCCAATTAGCAGCAGGAAGAATATTCCTTGAAAGTTTTAGTTCTTGCTAATCAAAGAGATGTCTTTCTTGTTTTGCTATGGAAAGAAGTTAATGGTCCTCTTCTGTGTTTTATCTTTTTTTTTTTACGTTATCAATAAACGCTATAGAGGGCAGTAGGGCTTGAAATATTGGAAGCTATCTAAAATACTATATAAAAATTCGTATTTGTGACTATATTCATTTTTATTCGGATGTGCTGCCTTTATTTCGATGGCATAGTCTTATTTTTTGCCTGTACTGATTTCATATAGTATCTCTACAGCAGGAGATCTGTCAGTTACTTTCGGTACTCAACTATTTTCCACTGGCAGTAAAGGCCGTATTTATGTTTGTTTGTTTGTTTGTTTTCTCCTTTTTCCCTGTGTGTGTGTCAACAGATGTTTCATATGAAGTGGTGACATCTTATTACTTTCCTGCAAGTTTGGGAAATCATATCTAGACTTTTATGCTTTAAAAAGAGTATACTGGCAATGTAGCTTCTCTTATCTGCACATTCTCTACTTTAAAATAAACACAAATTATAGTATACCCTCATTTCTCCTTGTTCGGTGGTGGAGAGTGTGTGGGTGGTGTGTGTATGTAGGTGGGTGGGTGGGTTCTGTTGTTGTTTTTTGTTTTTGTTTTTGTTTTTGTTTTGTTTTGGTGTTTGTGGGTGGGCGGGCTGGGGTGGGTGTCGCAGGGGGCCGGCAGCAAGGACCCCCTTCAACCCTGAACTTATACATAATACATGCGGTGTACTGGTGTCGTTTGTTTACCCAACTCTAGCCTTGGCATGATATATGTAGTGTACTAGTGCGCATAATATATGCAGTGTACTAGTATAGCTAATTCGCCCAGCTCTAACCTTATACATGGTATATGTGGTGTACTAGTGTTGTTAATTCTTGCTTGTTTTATGTAATGTTCTTCTATTTATGACCACACATGTAGTGTTGTTAATTCATGTATCTTCTTATTGTTTGTTTTAGGAGGCATTCCGTTCTAAGTTCTCTTTTTTATTTGTTGATAATTTTCACGTTAATTTTCATCCGACCGTAGCATTGTGAAATGAGGTCTAATTTTCATATAGTTTTGCATTTTATGGTGGAATTGTAAAATGAGGTCTAATTTTCACATGGTTTCGATTTTTCATATTTTAATTTTCACGTAACTTTGCATCTAAGAGTAGCATTGTGAGATAAGGTCTAATTTTCATAAACTTTTAGATTAGAAGTAGATATGTGAAATAAGTTTTTAAGTCTCGATATATAATTTGATTAGGATGTTTGTAATTTGATTATTTTGCAAATGAGTTTCTATGTTTATGTGCATTTCAATTATTTTATAAATGTTAGTTAAATTTTTTTTTTTTTAAATTTTCTTAAATGAATTTTAATGGTATAATTTATTGTCTATTGTTAATTTATTAGGTCTTTAAATAATAAGAAATTTTATGAGAAGATCAATTACATTAATACATTTAAAATAAATGTTAAAAGAATGAAGCATGTTGGTTCAGTGACGGGTGTATATTTTGAAATGATTCAAGTATTTATGAAAATATTTTTTTTGGTAAAACTTCTCTTGCATGTTCTTTCACCTACTATGTTGGTTCAGTGACGGGTGTATATTTTGAAATGATTCAAGCATTTATGAAAATATTTTTTTGGTAAAACTTCTCTTGCATGTTCTTTCTCTCACACACACACACACACACACACATATATATATATATATAGAGAGAGAGAGAGAGATGGGTATGGTTGGTATCAAGCAAAAGTTTTGATGTTTGGTAGTAATGTGGTATATTCCCCTCCACTCATTGAAATTAGGGCCCACATTCACATGGGCTGAGAAGTGGTTGAGAATTGAAATGAGTGGATGGAAATATGACACCTCACTACTAAGCACAAAATTTGTGCTTAGTACTAAGCATACTCATTTTTCTCTTATATATATATATATATATATATATA